CGGGGGTAGCGGCTAGGGCGGCCGCCGGGCTGCTGCGGGCGGCGCTGGGTGAGCTTGGGGCAGGGGCCAGGGCCGGGGCCGGGGCAGCGGCCGCGCCGCTGCTCACTGCTCTCTGTCAACAGGTGCCTTCGCCTCAGCGGCCAAGATGAAGATCGTGGAGGAGCCCAACACGTTCGGGTGCGTGGCCGCTCGCGCTCCCCGACCCGCCGCACGGCGCGGGGCCGGGGCAACTCTTCTCGCCGTGCTCGTCGCCCCCGCGCGCCGCACTCGCCTGCCGGTGGCTGGACACGACGACGACCAGAAACACCTGTTCCTCTTAAATCTTACATTGTAAATTTTCTTCTTTTGAAAGGCTCAATAACCCGTTCTTACCTCAAACAAACAGGCTGCAGCCAAAGGTGGCCCCTTCTGCAGTGTCAGGTATGCGCAAAAGTCTCTTTTCTGTATGAACTTTACCTTTTTCATCACAGTCATTTCTAGAGTAATGTGCCTCAAATTTGTGCCTAGAATGACTAATTTTGCCAGTTGCTTTGTGTGAGTTGTAGAAAATAAACATGACCAAGTATGTCTTAATGTGCATCTGGGAGATTAAAAATCTAGTTTAACATCTTCTGTGTTCTGTTTGGATTGCTTTGGTCAGTCTGCCCTCCTTGTGCTGCTTCTGTGCTGTTTGAGCCTGCTGATCCCTACTGAAGACTTACTTGCTTCCTGACACAGTCCCTGATGTCCTTGAAATTCTTATACAAAAATGATGCTGTCATCTGGTCATACTTAGTTCTCAGAAGTCCTTTTTCAAAAGTTTTTAGAATAAACTTAGAACGAGTCATGCAGACTCAATTTCACATGCAAAGTGTGGATGCTGCAGTATAACTTACCACTGTAGTAGCAAAATAAACAGAAATCTAAGGATTTTTTGACCTGTATGGTGGACAGTAGGTAGGTGCAATAAACACCAGATTGGTATGGCAGACAAACAGGTAGTAACATTAAGTGAGCTGTTTCTTTAAATCTCCCCTTTCATCCTAACCTTAGGCACAGACATAAGGCTCCTTATTGGTTCAAGCTGAGGCTGATAAGGACACTCATGAATGGTGAAGTTAAATGTGTGTGGGTTTTTTTTTGTTGTTGTTTTTGTTTTGTGTGACATGTTTTATAAGCCTAAATCAACTACATAAATTATGTACATGCTGTAGGTGAAAAGTGAGTTAGAAATAGGAATAATGATAGTTGGAATGCAGAATAGGAAGGTGCCAAACAATAGGAAAAGAAAACAAAATGAAAGGATAGCATATCAGAAATCTTTCTTTCCTGGCCTCACAAACTTATCTGTAGATCAAAATTGGAAGCATCTGTTGAACTGGAATCTCGGGCACAGCACCCTGGCTTGCATGGATGTTTCTTTAGCATGAATAACTGATTTTATGACAGTCAGTGTAGTAGTTTGTTATAGTTACTCTATGAGAGCGTTTGTCCAGGAAACGGAGACGGAATTGAATATATTCTTTATGGACATTCAGATTAGTATTTCTTCCCCTTTGGGGAAACCATCTTAATCACTTGGCACAGATTACTTGTAGGAGAGGAGCAAACTCTTTAGTCAAACTTGTGGTGATCAACAAAAAGAATGAAAGATCATAAGGTCAGAAAAAGGGTGTGCAAAGGAGAACCTGCCTATGTTTCAGTGGTTAGGGCATATTGGAGGGGCATTCTTGTGTTCTGTTCTCTGTTTCAAGATTTGCTTGTTTGGATCTTTGTAAGAAATACATTGGTGATGATGGCAGTGATGGCCCAGGTTCTAGATTTTCTGTATGATTTTAGGTATCTGCTTTGTAATCTCTTTTTCACTCGCAAAAATTATTTCTCTCACCAGTAATTTCATGTAAAGTTAGATGAGACATGTGACTCTTGAAATAGCCCTGTAGGAATTGTTCAGATTTTCTGGCCCTTTTCCAAATGGCAAATTACCTGATTTAAATTCCCTTGACAGCAAGGAGAGAATGGTCAGTTAGTTAGTTCAACTAGAAAGTTGTGTCTGTTTTTCCTGAATAACAACTGGATCAGACCTTGAAAATGAACCAGCCAAGAAGACCGGTGAAGAAGAACATCTAATTTGAGAGCGTTAGTGAAACTTAGGTGTGCAGCACTCTTGACATTCTGAGCAAAAGGGCTTTGCTGACTTGAACTTTGGGATTTTTATATGACTCTGGGGACAGATAGGTGCCAAGTAAGAGTTCTGGTGATTGCAACTAGATTTTGGCAAGACTCCTGCGCTAGGATTGTGTTTATGGAGCTAGCCTCAAATATTTCTCTGAGTTTCTTTTCACCAGAGAGAAAAGCTAACCTATTTCACAGTGTTAAAGATGAGAGGGAAAAAAAAAAAAAGAGGGAGAGAGAGATTTGGAAACAGATTGAAATAACGTTAGGAGGAACTTAGAATAATCTTTATGGAAGGTACATATTTCCTGATGTGCAACATAAAAAAATATTTGTTAAGCATTCCTTACAACTCTGTCACCAGAGCAACTTGTTTAAATTTAACCAAAAAATATTATTCCTTGGTGTCGTTTTCTGGTGTTTTTAGGTCCTGCACATCTCTTCAGGCTTGCTGGCAAGTGTTTCAGTTTTGTGGAATCCACGTGAGTAATGGATTTGAATATTTGACTCTTATTTGTTTTGATGAAGAACAAAGTAGTTCTTAATTCCAGTCTGAAACATTTTTTTTTCTTTTTTTTTTTTTAAGGTATAAGTATGAATTTTGTCCTTTCTTTAATGTCACTCAGCATGAGCAGACTTTTCGGTGGAATGCCTATAGTGGAATTTTAGGGTAAGGCTATTTAGAGCTTTATGTTTTACTTATTAGCAGATCATTGTTTAGATTGACAAAAAGGTGGCCTGTTTTTAAGCTTTTATCGACTAGTTTAAGTCATTGTAGTTTCCAGAGCATTATGCAGATGAGTACTCAGTATTGAAATAGCCTTTTTTTTTTTTTGATTAAAAATTAATCTCCTGTCTTTGGCTGGAGGCTGATTAATAGCTGATATCAACAGCAGTAATTATATGTCTTCATATAATGGCTTCATGTCTCTTCAAGGTATTTTCTTTCTAACTTACATGTGAACTTACAAAATAGAACACATTCCGTGTGCCTCATGGTCACTTTAAATATATTTAATAAACAGTAATAAAAGACTCGATGTAGATCCAGTACCAGTATCTACATCAGAAAAGCTAATATAAATTTAATTGTAAATCAGTACACTGCCTTAACAAAACGACCTATTTTTTACTTATTTTTATGTAGGTATCTGTGCAGCTTGAGTGAAGGACTTGTCTCTCTCTCTCTCTCTTTTTTTTTCTCTTATGTGCACAATAATCTGTGAGACAATGTGAGAGGAAAGGCTATATCATTATTCTGAGAAAATGAGTGACCTTTTGGATGAACAAAAGTAGAGATTACTTTTTGTAGACTATCTTTCCAGCACTGCAAATCATCCCGCAAGCAATCTTGCATTTGTTGTGGGATGGATCTGTAAGCTGTTTTTAATTGAGTTTAAACTAGGATTTGTAAATGCAAATAAATGGAGGCAAGCATGACACTGTGCTGTAAAAGTAGTGTTGATACATAAGAGCTTGAATAACAAATTTCACTGGTTGAAAGGTGAACAGATCCTTACTATAGGAAATGGAAGCATTAGGACAACAAAACTGATGTATACAGTTAATTTGGACCTTATATGCGAGTATTCGTTCTTTTCTTCCTGTGTTTTCACATTTTTCTTTGATGTTCTACTTTTTCAGAATCTGGCGCGAATGGGAAATTGTCAACAATACGTTTGTTGGAATGTGGATGAGGGAAGGAGATTCCTGTGAAAGCAAGAGCAGACAGACAAAGGTATAATAACAAATTATGCAGACTCAGACAGTATTGCAGTCTACTGTATCTACAGATACTCATGATGCACTATAAACTGAAATGCTTCTACATCTAAGAGTTAATGGTTTAGGACATGATATAAAATTAAAAGATAAGGTCCTGTAACAGTTAGTTGATTAGATGAGGAGAGAAGCTAAAATCAGGATAAAAGTCTGATGAAGTTTATTTATGTATCTTCGTTAGCCTGGCAACTTTAATTTTTTGTTGCTGCCAGAGTGGAGGATGCTAGTATTATCATCACTGTTAAGAAACATACAGGACTTATAGGAGATACAGAAGGGATCACTATTCTTGTGTGACCTTTGATGCAATGATAAAAATCCTTCACAGGCATTTGGTTTTGAACAGTCATTAAATACTAGCACTGACAGTACAAAGATCAAGTGAATTTCTACAGTCCAGTGGAATATTGTTCTCTGAAAAGTAAAAAGACAACCCTTACATTTAGTATACTTGTCAGGAAGCAAAATTTGTTAGATGAATGACGGTCATGACTGATGAGGTTTGAAAGCGTGTCCTATACACATGCCCTTTTATTCTATTTTTGTTGGAAATATTGTGCTTGAGAGTTCAAGCAACAAGAGATATGTGGGGCTGATTTCCCATTACAAGATGGATTTAAAAAATAAATAAGAAAGACTTGTTAGCTATGGTTTTTTGTTGTTTGTTTGTTTGTTTGCTGTGGATGACAGTACTGGAAACTTTGGGACTGTAGTTTTTACCAGAATGCATCTGTTGGCGTAGGATCACAGCAAATTGATCATGAATGCTGGTCCTGTTTAATTTGGAGCTGGTTTTGCTGATCTTTGTTTTTACTGATGTTTAGGTTCTTCTTGTTTGTGGAAAGAGCAATAAATTGGCTTATGTGTCTGAGCCAAGTACTTGTGTTTACTCTCTGACATTTGAGACTCCTCTTGTGTGCCATCCTCACTCTCTTTTAGGTAAGATGTAGAAAATTATTTGTGCGTTTGGAGTAGCTATCATCTTACCGGATCTTACCCACCCCAGAGTGTAAACTTCCAGGGTCTTTGGTCTTGTAGTTGGATATCAAAGAAAAGTAAATGTAACGTATATTGTTAACTGTATGTCACAAATAGATGTTTCTAGAATAAACTATCGCTGCTAGTATGGATGCACCAAATGATTTGCTTTTTTCTTGGACTAGTTCTGCAAATCTGCCTTGTAGTATCTGTTCATTTACCCACATAACAGAAGAGGAGAGCTCAATTAGAATTTCATTCAGTGGAGGATTATGAGTTCTTCTATCTGGAAATGAGATTGACCAAATTTTTGGGTCAATAGTACTCTTCAGAAACTTTGTGTTTGTGTAAGGTGGCAACTTAAAAGCTGTAAAGACTGCGTGCTGTATAAAAACGTTGAGAAATATGTAGGGGTGGTACTAGAGAAGCACTTAAGTAACGGAGCACAATGCTGTTAATTTTTACACAGTGACTTCCATTTTTCAGTTTATCCAACTTTAACTGAAGCACTACAAAGGAAGTGGGATGAAGCAGAGCAGTTTCTGTATGATGGACTAATAACTGAGCAGGTTTGTTAGTTCTTCCAAAACTGTTTGATAAAGAACAGTTATTGCCAAAGTACTGAACTGACTTCTGCAGTTTCATCTTTTCTTTTCTTTTTTTTTTTTAATGTGTACATTTATTCTGCAGTTGGCAAATAGTAGGTTTTGTGCTCTGTAACTGCTGTATCAACAGTAATAGCAATGTTTTGTAAAGTAAATCTTGTGGAATTGGAATGCCCAGTGCAAACTACAAGAAGAGATGACACTCGGATGGATTCTTCTATTGTATTTTGCAAATTTTCTTCTTTAGGGATACAAAAAAATACTGAAAGAGATTTTCGAGGAAGCAGGACTTCTAAGAGTAGCAGAAGAAAAGGAATTTGAGAAACAGAGTAAGAAAATAACAAGTCTGGAATTTGAAACAGTAGAGAGCTGCAATAAGGTATAGAGCGTGATGTTTACAATGTGGAATTAATTGTTGCTTTTTTACTTTATGGTTCGGTGTGACAGAATTAAGTATTTATTCTGTGGATTCACCTCAAGTCTGTTAATGGGATGATGATTATTATTTTATGTAGCAGTCTTTACAAATTAAGTGACTTGACATCTCGATATTGGACCTCAAGTCATGGACAAACCAGCACAACTGAAAACTCAGAAGTTAGATGGGTGATATATGCAAATTATTGTAGGTACTTGGATTATGTACACTTTATAAGTACCCTTTCTGGGGGATATCAGGGTGAAAATAGGAAAAAGCTATTAGCAAAAATAAAAGCGCACCAAGCCTTGGGAAAGTTGACACTTTTTCCATGTGGATTATTACTGAGGCTTATGGCAGAACACACGGGCCATTATATAAGCAAAAGACAGCATAATCGACACTATCTATATTGATTGATTTTAATATGTGTGAATATGCAGATACTTCCTCTGCAGCTGCACAATAATGGAAAAAAAAAAGAGGCAGAAAGTGTGCTCAGCTTAGAAGAACAAGTGTTCAATATCATGAAAAGATCATGGAAGGGAGTTCATTGATTATAATGCAAAGAAGAAGCCACTGTTGTCATCTATTTTGAAAGTGCAGCAAAACAAAATGTCTGCATATAACCCAAGAAACAGGTTAAGTGGAATAGATTTCTGTAAAGATGATCGGTTTGCTTTGGTACTCTCAGAATTTCAATAATTAATTATTTTGCTGTTAATAATATTAACTTTTTTTTTAACATTCTTAGTTGTCTTCATTATGGTGTAATTGACATCATTTTGCATGTTCTGATAATCGAAGAATTTTAAATAGTTTATACTTTTATTGATATAAGTGGAAAAAATACATTTAAAAAAAAAAGTAGGCTCCTTCAAGATTCCAGATGTGTGTGAGGTTTGACTGTTGAAAGTGTGAAGCACTCCTTGCTTCTGTGGTTTAAGAGAGACTGTAGAAAGCCAAACCATGAAGTTGCCAGGTCAAGATCCAAGGAGGTGGCACATTTCCAGACTCTACCTTTATGACAGAAACTAAAATAAAGCTGGTCTTGTAGCAAATGAAGACAATTTTATCCAACAGTAAAATGCTGAAGATAGATCCGAGAATTTCTATAAAAATTTTACCTCATTCTTGGAGAATACAGATTAAGATCTTTATGTCAAAAACTTTTAACAACTATGCACAGACCTGTTATGTTTGAAAAATGTTGTATCTATGTACATGTGTGCATTTTTAATTAGTTTTCTTTCTTAGGAGTACAAGCAACTTTCAAAAGAATTCAAAAAAATTAAAGATTTATTAACTCAGCATGGTATTGCGTACAAAACAAATTCTGGTGAGTTTTTCATATATGTATTTTTTTCATTATTGTCTATTCAGAATGTATGTACCTGTATGTTGCTTTTGACTACTGCAGTAATTTTTAAAAAAAGCGTTGTATGTGGAGATAAAAATCAGTGTTACAGACTTGGTAACACTAAAGGGTCCTTTGAATGTCTATTCTTTGGTCACATCCAGCTGCAAGTCTTGGCTTCATCAAGAACACTTGAAATGTCCCCCGCCCCTTTGATATTTGTTAACTAAATACTGTATCCCATGCTGTTTTGAGAAGGAAGGATTCTTGGGTTCTGGTTTTGAGAAAGCAGGGCTTATCTGGATTAACTCCAGGCAAGTTAAGGCTTTTTCCTGACTTACTCCTTCTTATCCATCATTCCCGTTATTACATTAACTGTGTGTCTGAGGGGGATTCAGTTTCCCCACAGCTTTTGCGTTCAGCGGTGGCACCTCAAGGAAACAATGTAGCTTTGAGCTGATAATATTAAGGAAGCTACATGCTTAGTTTGTTTCTTCTCTCTGTTTAGAGAAACTTTCATGGGTTGAAATACTTTTTTCTAGAAAAAAATCAACCTGGCTGTTTTTTTGTAAAACTCATTCTTTGCATGTTTAAACTGTTTAATATGTAATTTACAATGTAATTTTTGCCTGCCTGAGGGACAACTCATTTAACTACAGTAGATCGGAATTTGGATTCTAGAATCAGAAGCAAACAAGCTTACTCTGGATAATTTATTTCAAAATTGTTTGGTAAATTTTGTGGTTAAGACAGAAATGTTTCAATGTTTAAAAAGCAGAAGTAACTGATGTCTTAAACATTACAGCTGAAAATACCAGTGTTGAACGTACAAGTCACAGACTGGCTGCTGCAGAGAGAAATGTTTTTAATGGGTCAAAGAATGATGAACATCTACGTGGAGATACAGGAATTTGGAATGACACTGTTTGAAGAATTTTGGGTGGTAAAAACAATTTCATATGGACTGTTCAGTAAGTTGAATGTGTGTCATGGTACTAAGATGATTCACCTTTTCTGAGTATTTTTGACTACGAATTCCTGTCCTAAAGCAAAGGGAAAATAATGGACTGCTATTCTGCTATTTCTGAAGAGTTACTTCATTTCTCACAACATTTATAAAGCTTCTGTGCTAAGCCTGCCATTGGGCACAGGCTTGCTGATTCTTTCCTTCCAGTCTCAGATGTTGTTTTCTTTGATCTGTTATGGCACGTTGAAAGATGAGGGCTGTAAGTACACAGAACTTACATTTCTGTCTGACTAATGACATGTTTTGCCATAAAATGTGGGCAAACTAATTTTGCAGTGAGCACTAGATTGTTGTCTGGAAGAGAAAAAAAAAAAAAAAGTATACCTGCATCACATGATCCAGCAGTATTAAAAAGCCACTGGAGGTGACCAAAGTAAGTGGAAGGAGGGAGGGATTAAAACTGAGTAAAATATTTTAGGTAGTTAGTGTTTAAGGTAATGGCAGTGCAAAAAATGATGTTTAATAATACTTCTGACAAGTTCAATCCTGTATGTCCTCATAGAGTAAGAATACTCCCAGTTTCCTTCATCTCGCTTCACGTGGCCCTCAGTCTGTGTTGTCTCAGGAACTTTCTGGTCTTAAGTTTCACTCCTACAAACATCTGCCTTGACCCTCAATGCACAGTGACCCTTCTGGTTGTATCGTGGAGCACTAACAAATGTTCTCAGTTGTGTATGTTTTCTGTATCAAATTAAAGAAATTGCAGGTATGTAACAGGTTACAAAGACAAAATAATTGGGAATCTGATGTTGTAAAGTGTTGTATGAAAGAGAGTTCAGAACATATCACTTGTATGCCTAAAAAAAGGCATTTTTTTTTCTTTCAGACTTAGGCAAAAATGTGTTTCCTGCTTCAGCAGTGCCTGATACACAGGCCTCTATCCCAAGCTTAATTTGGTATAGGAATATTTACTGGGCGAGATGAAAGCTGTTCAGGTTCAGAAGGAAGGAATGAAAGAAGTTTTGCATTCTTACAGTGTTGCTATGAAAATGAAAACTTACTCCTGAAGAGCAATTTGTGTTAGCTGAAAAGGTGGCAGTTCTGTGTGTGTGATTTAAA